CTCCTGCGGCTGTCGGGGGCCGCGGAGGCCGGCGTCGGGTGCCGTCGTTGCCCCCATCGTCGCCACGGAGTCGTCGTCGTTCTACTCGTGTTCCTCTCCCTCGCCATCCTGCTCCTCCTCCTCCTCCTCCTCCTCCTCCTCCTCCTCCTCCTCCTCCTCCTCCTCCTCCTCCTCCTCCTCCTCCTCCTCCTCCTCCTCCTCCTCCTCCTCCTCCTCCTCCGCCCCACGGCCGCCCGCAGCCTGGCGCGGCGCCGCCGCCTTGCGGCCGTGGAGGCCGCCATCCGCGGCTGGGCGGGCGATGGTGGGCTTGCCAGCGCCGCCCCCGGGGTCCTGGCAAGACAGAGAGCGCGCCTCGTGCCCAGCTCTGCGCGCCGCAGCAGCTGGCAGGCGCGCGTATGGCGGCGACCGGTGCCGCCAGAACGCGGCCTGGCATGCCGCCAGGGCCCCTGCCTCGGGATTCACCCGTGCGAGCGCGGCGGACATCGCGGACTCGGCAGCTGGGCCCAGGCTTGCGGCTTCCGCAGGGGTGCCCGCCGCCCGCTCGGTGTCGCGAAGGCCTGCCAGACGTTCGACGCCGACGTGCAGCTCGACGGGGGTCTGGCTCCTGGCGCGTGGGTCACCGACGAGGGGGACGAGAGTGTGCCGCTGGCCCTGGGCGCCGAGCCCGCGGGCCGCGTTTTCGCTCACGGCGTGGCCGCGGGCTGGAGGCTGGCGGATCTGGCCGCCGCAGAGCTGTGCCGCCAGCAGGAAGTGCCCCTGCTGGAAACCCTCTGCGGGCAGCCGGAGGCGGCCGTGCAGGGCGAGGGCGTTGTGCCGGCGCCTTTCCCTGCGTCGGTGGGCAGAGTTGAAGTTGACCAGGGCAGCTCGGGCGGCGTGGAGTACGAGGACGTGGACACCGCGGCAGTGGTGGGCAGCGCCCCTGCCATGCTGCATACCGTCGTCCCCGAGGCCCGACCCGCCTGCGAGTTCGACGCGGAGTGCGGGGAGGGCCACGGCGACCAGGAGCTCGACCTTGAGTGCCAGAAGGTCGAGCAGGGCAGCGACGCTGTCAAGTACGTGCCTTCGGCTGGCGGCGGCGCTGTGGTGAGCGTGGTGTCGGAGCTGGCCGTCTCCTTGGACGCGATCGCATGCGAGGCCACGGGCTCCGAGTCGTCGGTGGCAGTGGGCTCAGTACATCCTGCTGGCGTGGTCGTCTGTCCTCCTGCTGGTCACGACCTCGTTCCTGGTGGTGTGCGTGCTCCTCATGCCGACGGTGCTGCTGCTGCGGCGGGCGCGGGCGACTCGCCCCGTAAGGAGGTGGCGGGCAGCAGGGAGTCCGTGATCCGCGAGGCGGGCCTTGTGTTGTGAGTGGTCCTCGATGCGGGCCTCACTGTCCACGATCCTGGATGTGCCCTCTGCGATGTCGCCCTCGTCCTGGGGAGCCGTGGCCGTGAGCGCCGCGCATGCAGATGCTGTGGGATCCCGTTGCTGCGCGGAACTCAGGTGTACCGATGCCCACGCTGCAGCAGGATGTGGCATAAATCTCTCGTGGACCGCCTTATCCTCGACGATTGGGATAGCGATGAAGACGAGCCTGGTGCGTTACGGTGACGGCGGCTCGGGTGAGGTCCTCCTCTGCTTCGGGCTGCCGCTCGTGGTGTACGGCCAGGTGCTCGCTCTTAATCGTGTCCTGTACGTGCTTTGGGTGCTCCTCGTCATCTTCTTCACGGCAGGTACACCCAGGCCCTGGACAGCCTCGCCCACTGTCCAGGAGTAAGGCGGGGCAGCTTAGCGTTGATGTCAAAAAAAATCCACCTGCTCATGATCTTCCTCCTCCTCGTTCTCCTTACCGTCCTCCTCCTGCTCTTCCTCCCTCTCCTCCTCCTCCTGCTCCTACTCCTCCTCGTGATATTACTCCTCCTCGTCACCATCCTCGTTGTCCTCCTAACTACTGTCCTCCGATTCGTCCGTCTTCGCGTCCTCACCATACTTTCCGTCCTCATCCTCCTCGTCCTCCTCGACCGTCGACTTACTTCACCTCAGCATCCACCGCGACATCCATATGTTCACCTCCCTCCTCTACCACCACCACCACCACCTCGTCCTCTTCCACATCCATCTCCTCCACCTCAGCCTCCACCCTCTCCTGCCCCTCCTCCTCCTAAACATGCTGGTCTCCCTCTCCCACCGTCAACCTCAACCTAACCGACATCAAGATTGCCATCGTCAACCACACCATCTTAATTCGCATAAGCATTATCATGAGCATGAACATGACAGGCATCATCAGCAGCAGCCCCAACATCATCACCACCATCGTCATCGTCGCCAACGTCGTCATCAGCAATATCAGCATCAACGTCATCATCACTACCACCATCATCACCATCATCATCACCAGAACCACCACCGCCATTACAATCGTCACGATCACCACCACCTCAGTCACCATCACTATATTCACAACGTCATTACCATCGTCACCATCGTCCATATATTCCTACACCCCTATCCTTCCACTAATGTAATCCTCGTCGCACCACCAGGTGCTTGTTTTTTGTAATTTCCGCGATACTGGCCGTCACCGGCCCCGCCCTCTCCCCGCCCCAGGTGACATCACGGTCCGCGCCAGCGGCGTCCGGGAATGCCTGGGGATGACCGAGGCCAAGAAGGAGCAGCATGCAAGTGGCGATCTGCACCACAGCGCCTGTGTACAGCACGGTGCTCGCCTGCACCACAGCGCGCGTACACCACAGCGCTTGCGTACACCGCAAAAAGCCGTGTGTGCAACGCACCGCCCGTGCACACCACAGTGCTTGAGTGCACAACAAAGCCTGTGTATACCACAACGAATATGTACACCGCAGCAGCCGTCTGCAACACACTGGCTGTGTACACCAGTGCGCGCGTGCACCGCAGCGCCCGTGCACACCACAGCGCCTGTGTACACCAGAACGTCCCCGTGCAACACAGCGTTGGTGTACACCACAGCGCTGGCGTGCACAGGACAAGTAGACGGAGCATGTAGGTGAGGATCTGTTGCGGACAATCAAATACCACGCAAAGATAGTGCTGATAATATAATGCGATGTTGTTCCCTCCTCCCACCTCCCTCACCCTTCCCCCCGTCGCGCGGGTCGGCGCTACAGCGCACGTGCGCATCTCAGTGCGCATCCCAGAAAATTGTCCATTGAAGCAGTCCACTTGGTTCTCGGACGGCCAACGCTGCGGGAGCCTTCTGGACGCAGATGGGAGGAGTTTGGATGATGCGGGAGGACTCGGGAGGACTCGTAGATTCCAGAGGTGTTCCTTTTCCCATAAAGTTTCCTTTCAAATTATACATAAACAACTGTCCTTTGTGGAATCCACAGGCGCTCCATTTGTCATAAGGATAGCCTCTGAAGTTCTACATGCGAAAATGGTATTTTGTTGCAAACGGTTGCTGTGGTGCACACAAGCGCCGTGTTGTACACAGGCGCTGTGGTGCACGCAGGCACTGTCGTGTACAGTGGTGTTGTGTTGCAAACGGTTGCTGTGGTGTACGCGCTGTGTACACAAGCACTCTGGTGCACGCGGGCACTGTGGTGGTGTACACAGGCGATGTGTTGCACGCGGCTGCTGTGGTGTACATAGGCGCTGTGGTGTACACACATTGGCGCTGTGGTGCACGCGTGCACTTTGGTTCACACAGGCGCTGTGGCGCAGATCGTCAACTACATGTTGTTCCGACCCGTCCTCAGTCATGCCCAAGCATTCCCACGGCACGAAACTTGACGTCATACACATACACGTATACATATACATATACACATACATATACATACACATATACATGTACATGTCCATATACATATACATATACATGTAGACATGCATATACATGCACAAACACATATACATATACACAGGAATATACGTATACATATACATATACATATATATATATACTAGAACCATCGCGCGCGCGCTTCGCGCGCGCTCAGGTTCTAGCAGGCCCCAGGCCACGACGAATTCACTGCTCCACTAAAGTAGTGGACACAGTCCACGCATGCCAATCTGCATTCCGAAAGGCCTTCGAGGAAAATGGTTGTGTAGGGGGGCGGAGGCCGTATGAATCGGGTTCCCAGAAGGCCTTCTGGGAGCATGGGTTTGGGGGCGTCTTGGGGAGCCTGTTGGGGTCGTGTCGTCGTCGTCGTCGTCGTCGTCGTCGTCGTCGTCGTCGTCGTCGTCGTCGTCGTCGTCGTCGTCGTCGTCGTCGTCGTCGTCGTCGTCGTCGTCGTCGTCGTCGTCGTCGTCGTCGTCGTCGTCGTCGTCGTCGTCGTCGTCGTCGTCGTCGTCGTCGTCGTCGTCGTCGTCGTCGTCGTCGTCGTCGTCGTCGTCGTCGTCGTCGTCGTCGTCGTCGTCGTCGTCGTCGTCGTCGTCGTCGTCGTCGTCGTCGTCGTCGTCGTCGTCGTCGTCGTCGTCGTCGTCGTCGTCGTCGTCGTCGTCGTCGTCGTCGTCGTCGTCGTTTCGTCGTCGTCGTCGGTTCAAGAAGGCACTTGGGGCAACTTCGTGCGAAACGATCGACGGAGGGCCGCGAGAAGGCGATCAGTCATGTTCCCAATCAACTTCCCAGACAGCTCTCCTGTAGCATGATGGTACTTCGAAGCCTCCGGTCGCGGGCCCATGATGAACCTTGTCCCCGAAAGGCCTTCTGGGGACATGGTTTGTTGGGGTGTGTTGGGGGGCCTCTTGGGCGTTCCCTGGGGGCCCCTTGGGGGGCTCCGGGAACTCTCGGGCCCATGATGAACCATGTCCGCGGAAGGTTTTCTGGGGACATGATTTCTTGGGGTGTGTTAGGGGGGCCTCTTGGGCGTTCCCTGGGAGCCCCTTTGGGGGCCTCTTGGGGCTTCCTGGGTGCCTCTTGGGCGCCTCACGGGGCTTCGTGGGAGCCTCTTGGTGGCCTCCGGGGGCCTATAGGCGGCCTAGAGTCAGACCTCGAAATATCGGTTGGCGGTCCCCCTCTGGGCCCTCTCTTGGGG